GGCCAGGGCCAGAGCCAGGGTGCTGTCGCGCATGGCGCCGTCCAGGGCGACGCTGCGTTCGTCCAGCAGAACCACCGCGTGGTAGGCGCCGGCCATCAGGCGGCCGTGAAGCTCGGTGTTGGGCACGATGTGCTCCAGGCCCATGGCGCCCTTGGCACGGCTGTACCATGGTGCTAAAGCAGACGTTGACAGAGCCGGCGAAGTGGCCCGCATTGAACGCGAGGAAGGAGCGGCAGTCCAGCAGCAGGCACTGCGCCGCGCGGTCCCGCAGCAGCGCCCGCAGATCTCCGGCATCCAGCGTGCCCACCTCCATGACCATGGCCGGCCCCAGCGCCCCCAGCGTGCCTGGTCCTCGCTGCTCTTTGTCCTCGGAAGTCAAGGGCAGGGCGGCGGCTTTCGAGGAAAAGCACGACCCTGGGTCTCTGCTCTCGGACCCAGCAAGGGGTGCTAGCGGGACTCCGGACCTCTCTTGCTCACTGCCACCCCGTCTGACCTGGGCCGCCCGCATGGCTCACATTTCCCATAGATTCACAGATAAGACAGAGTACAACCATTATATAAGGTTTCATAAATAGCAGGTGGCAGAGCCAGGATTCATACTCAGTTGGTTTAGTGCCAGAGGTTCCACTTAGACGTATTGTTGTGGGACAAATGAGGCAAGGCACCAAAGATAGCAGGAAACAGTTTTATTTGGCTGCAGCCAGGTTCAGAGGGTACAGCCTTTGCTGTAACCAATCAATCCCCTGAACCCCGAGTTCAGGGAGTTTTAGAGTTTTATATCTAGCATGTAAGGAGAGGGGCTCAGAAGTTCACAGTCTGCAGAAGTTCACATAAAAGCAGCTTTTTCTTTCACTGTTCTGGGCAAGTTAACTCTTCAAGGACAACACCTGAGAAGGGGAGAGCCTCTTCTCCCCTTTCTTTCTTCCCCCTGCCAGCTGTTACCATGGAGCCCATTTGTAACTTATCTTAAAAATGTAGACATCTCTGTGAAGCCCAGCTCAAGGCTAGAGGCCTTGTTTGCTCATTTCTTCAAAGTATATACTGGATACGTTTGTGAAAACTAGTAAGAGGGTGTCTAGCACCTGGAGTGCTGGTATTTTTTCAACAAGTGGCCAAGTAAACAGGGTGACATGAAAATACGAAATTTAACTACAATGGACTCTTGCTGACTGTCCTAAAATCAGCCATGGTGAAGAGGGCTTTTCTGTGGAGAAAGGGGGTGCCACTTCAATATGAAGCTTTAATAGTACTCTGATAATAAGGTTGCACACCTTTGGCAGTACCAGAGCCCTAAGGAGGGACAGTGGTCAGGGGAGGTTTCCTGAAGGACTAAGAGTTAGCTATTGCTGGAGAAGGAAAAGCCTGGAAGCCACTTAGGAGGAAATGTGCCCAGCTTCCAGTCCAGGCAGGGATAGGAGTTTGCAAGGAGGCACAGGGCAGGCCCGATCCAGCTTAGAAACGACAGTGGTTCATATCCCAGAGGCAGCTGGAGGTCTGGAGTGTTTTAAGCAAAGAAGAGACTTGGTCAGATTTCCATAAAAACCATCCCAGGAGCTGGGTGAGGGTGGATGGAAGCTACAGAGACAAGGGCAGAGGCAGTGGGGGGCGAGGGGAAGGAAGAAAAATCCAGGAAGTCCATGGTTATTTGGGGTTAAGAAAACAGTGAGCAATTTTGGAGAACACCCAGTTTCTGCTCCTAATCCAGCGGGTGGGGGTGCTCTGATGAGGTCAGTTTGGGTTGCGAACCCAGGTCTTGCTACTTCCAGGAGCATGGCCTTCCTACTTCCAGGAGCATGGCCTTTCGCTGCCTGTCCGCAGGCCATCAGGGAACCGGACTGCCACGTCTGGCTACCGAAATGCTCTGGCTGAGGCGGCGCCGTGCACGGTCCTGGGCACCAGGGGGCGCGCCCGTACTCGCTCGGGCCGCTCTGGCCCAACTCTTCTCAGTGGCCGCGGAAGGTGACGTGGACACGGAAGTGGTCGTCGTCGCAGCTGCACCGGTGGGAGCTGGGCGCGGGGATCGTAGTGCGTCCGGCCAGCGGACGGGCGGCGGTGGTCTCGCAGCGGCGGAGGGCGCAGTCGTGGTCCGTTGGGTGCGCCTCTGCTGAACAACGAGCGACCTTTCAGCCTCTCTCCTGCCCGTCGAAGCCCCGCAGTCGGGGCCAGCTCAGCCGGCGTCATCATGACCAAGGCCGGTAGCAAGGGCGGGAACCTTCGCGACAAGCTGGACGGCAACGAACTGGACCTAAGCCTCAGCGATCTGAATGAGGTCCCGGTGAAGGAGCTGGTCAGTATAGCCCCACAAGGCCCTGGAGCCCACTATGCTTGGCGCTGGCCTCTGCGTGGGCCGCCTTCTTTCTCAAGCCTCAGTTTCCCATCTTTAAAACGAAGTGGTGGGGGAATGCTAAGTGCTCGGTGGGTTGCTGCGTCCTGCCCCAGCGTTTCTGGGATGTACACGTGTCACTTTGGCGCTGTTCCAGAAGATAGGGAGGATTTGCCTGTCCGACCCTGGGCATTTTCAGGGCCAAGAGTGAATCTGTCTCCCTTTTGGGGACTTTCACAGCGCCCAGTTACGTGCAGGACCCCCGGTAGGAGCGGCCACGGGGTTGCTGGATGTATTTCAGAATGAATGAATGAATGAGTCGGTCCGGGAAAGCAGGCCTCCTGATACACCTGGGTGTGGCCCAGAACCCAGCTTTTCTAGGAAGCTGGCCATCCCAGCTGGCTACTCCAGCCTCGAGGCAGCCTTCCTTGAAGAAGGTGAAGTCTCCTTGCTTGACTCTCAAGGTTTCATCCCACCTGCGTTGAACCTGACAGGAATCCCTGCCGACTACCCACCCCACCCTAAGCTAAGGCCTGGGGCCCCAAGGAACACATCTAGTTGCCATTGTAGAGCTGGGTCCCATGTCCTCTGCTTTTCTAAACCACCAGATCCCTATCCCCACCACTACCCCTCTGGCCTGCCTCACTTGGGATGGCCTACACTCTCCTTCCTTTCTTCCTTTACAAATTACATTTGCCCTTGACCTTTGGCCCAGTCTTCCCTTTACTGTGGCTTTTGGTGTGATGACTAGAATGGGATTCTCAGTTCATAACCCAGCTCCATTGCCTAATAGCTGAGTGCCCTTGGCAAGTTGGTTAACCTTTATGTCTAAATTTCCTCATTTATAAAATGGTACTAATAGTTTCCATCTCATATACTTTTTATGAGGATTAAATTGTAATGTAAAATGCATGGAAGGTAGCATGTGCTGATAGATGGAACTGTTATTGAGGTGTTTTTCTCCCTGTAGTATCCAAAACTTTTTTGGGTGGTCATACTTCATTTTGAGGACTTTTGACAGAAAAGTCAAGGTTGGCCCAAGGTCTTTAATTAAATGTTCACTTCGTTTCCCACCCCAAGATGATGGTCAACATTGTTTTAGTCTGGCCTTAGGCTGAAACGACTTAGTCCAATGGTCACTGCACATTATCTCCAGGGGGGAAAAATCTGGACACTGGAAAAATTGAGGTGGACTGTGAGGGCCTCCTTTCACTCTGCCTTCACTCTGGCATACCTGTTCCTTCAGCCACAAGTTGGCCATCACATATGGGATATTCAGTGCCTTCTTTGAGGAAGGCCCTGAATTGGGGAATATGTAAATTGCAGAGATTTATAAGACATAGTCCCTCCCCCAAAACCTAGTAAGGGGAGTGATAGAGAAGAATTTTAAAGTGTTATGGAGAATTTCTAAGAATTGAAGTTTTCCTTTCTTGGAAGTTCCACAGCTAAATCCCTCCTCTTTGTATTCTTCCCTAGATCTTGGTTGACTGGCTCATTTTTTTTCTTTTATCCCCAGGAACATGATACTTTAGTAATTTTTTTTTTTTTAAGGCCTTTCTTAATCGTGGGAACTTTCTTTGGAAAATGAACAGATGTCACTGAGTCGTTCCAGGTGTTGGTTTGACATGTTTTTCTTTATCTCTTCTAGGCTGCACTTCCAAAGGCCACCATACTGGATCTGTCCTGCAATAAACTGAGTAGTCTACCGGTAAGATTGGCAAGCAACCATGACTTCTGGAGCCTGGATGCATTGCCTTCCTGTTGCTGGGGGTGGGAGGGTCATAAGATATAATTTCAGGATTGGCCTACAGGCAGGCTCCAGCTAATCTGGGTATGTTGGGGAGGAGATGGATGGAGTGGCTTGTCTCAGAGGGAAGGGAATTGAGGTACAGGCCTTATTCTAGCAGTGGGGAAGTCAGGCCACAGAAAACAACATCGACAGGATGCTGGCTGGTCACTTACAGGGCTCATCTTCTTTCTTGCTTTATTCCTTTGAAAAGTAATTTACCTCCCTATTGCACAGAGGAGGCTAGAGACCATTTTGTTAGTTGCTCTGCATTGCAGAGAGAAAGTACTAATAGTTTACCAGTCCCTCCATGCATCTTGATGAGACACAAAGCAGAATGTGATTTTATAAGACTACCTTATCATTATCCTCCTAAAGACTTGAATTACTTCATATTTGCTTTTTTTATTGTTGTTGTTGTTGGGCACATCCATTTTGTGTCAAAACCTTTTGATTTTGCTTGCATCACTTTTCCCAGTTCTCCCTTTGCTCCCTTGCACCTGGGCAGGTGCTAGATTCCTTCAGCCCCTTCAGCCTCTGCTGGGTAATGACTCCCTCCTCCATAGCACTGCTCCTGCAGTCAGGCCTGTGTTTGCTATCACTGCTGCCTCTTCCACCCTTCTCTCTGGCCATGCCACTCCTTGTTTTATCCCAGGGTAGATTCCCACTGGGTTTGGCTTAGGGATCAAATTCAGAAGTTGGCAGTTTCTTCTTTGGATCATTAGTCCAGTTCTCTCTTGGCATTCTCCTGAGCCTCTTACTGTCTATAGCATCTTTTCACAGCTCATCAAAACTGTTTCTAACAGTTCAGGAAGCATCTGAGGTCCCACTTCTTCCAGGAAGTATTGTTTCTAATTAAAGAAGGGTAGCAATTCCTTGCAGCTTCACACCTGCTGTACACATTGCCAGAATCATTCGGCGCCCCCAAGTGCACTCTTCAGTCTGACTGTTTTGTTGTCTGTCCCAACAATTTCCATTTTGCTTGGCAGTGCAGATCCCCTGGCATTTACAAGTCCCCAGAGAGCATGAGTAGTGCCTCATTAGCCAGCTAGTGCCATCACTTTCAGATGGGTTCTGGGCAAAGGTTGAATGTGGGGATGTTTTGGCATTTGCTGAAGAAGAGCTGGGTTATAGGCTGGGTGGGCCCTAGCCAGTCAGCCAGCTATTCCAGGAACACTCATTGAGCACCTGTGCAAAGTTCTAGGTGCTGCAAGTAACAAGACTGAGATTGAGTACTCAAGGTTTAAACACTGTGTTTTGAGAGATCATATGAAAGGTGAAGATAGGGTGCTGTGGGAGGACAGAAAGGTTCCTTATCACTGTAGTAGCAGTGTGGAAGATGAGCAGGAAGGAGAACAGAGGAGGAAGGGATGTACACATTTTTTTGCTAGATGGTACTACGCTGTCTTACGCTCATGCTTCAGTCACGACCACTAGCAATGGCAGGTTTTCTCTCCATGTTCATGCTAGGAGGAAATAGCTGGTAAGAGGTAGAGCTGGGATTTATGCCTAGGTGCTTCTAACTTCGGGACTCCCTGGTGTGAGCCCCAGGCTTAAGTGGTCTCTCTCTGGTCCTAGTCGGATTTCTGTGGCCTCACACACCTGGTGAAGTTGGACCTCAGTAAGAACAAGCTGCAGCAGCTGCCAGCTGATTTTGGCCGTCTGGTCAACCTCCAGCACCTGGATCTCCTCAACAACAGGCTGGTCACCCTGCCTGTCAGCTTTGCTCAGCTCAAGGTAAGAATCCACACACCATGGTTTCACAGCCAGGCATGGCCAGGCCCAGGGACTGATTGTACATGACCCTGAGAAAGGTAGTCAAAAATATTACCTTGCTGGCCTGAGATGGCATCCCTGGGGGTGGAACACAGAGGAGCTTCCTTCTTGCCCACTCTTCTACCTAGAGGGACAGTGTGTGAACTCAGGCTTAGCCTGCCTCTTTACCTATCTCTTTAGAACCTGAAGTGGCTGGACCTGAAGGACAACCCCTTGGACCCTGTCCTGGCCAAAGTGGCCGGTGACTGCTTGGATGAGAAGCAGTGTAAGCAGTGTGCAAACAAGGTGAGCACGGGGCTCCTGGGTGTCTCCTTCCCATGTTCCCGTAGGACCTTCCTCGCCCTCTTGTTTTTTTTTTCTTCCAGGGCACTGATAGCTGTTGACTAAAGTGCTAAGGTCTCAGTGGAATTAGTCTGTTAAACCCTGGGGAGATTTGTTTCTATGTTTACCTTACAAGTACTAGAATACCACCATCTTCTACTTTATGCAGTACTTCCTTTTCTAAGAAACCAGGGCCTGGGCTGGGGATGCAGCTCAGTGGTAGAGTGCTTGCTTAGCATGTGCAAGGCCCTGGGGGTCATCCCAGCAAAAAACAAATTAAAAACCCAGTAAATCAAATGAGTAAATGAGGAAAACAAACCAAAAATCTGCATTAGAACACTATGTTGACATTAGTTTTAATGGGAAAATAGGGATAGGGGCTATATAACCCTTTTGAGGCACAGTTATTGTGTGAGTTTTAATAAAGGTATTCAGATTTATAAATTTAGGGCTGTGGATACAACTGAGTGGTAGAGTGCTTGCCTAGCATGCTCAAGGACCTTTTAATGCTCAGCAGTTGGGGAGGGGAATTATAAATCTATACCTATAAACAGAAAAGTCCAGTGCAGACATGGCATTTGATTATAATTGGGGTCATCTGATAGAGGAGTGAAGACCCACAGGCTTCTCACTAGGCAAACTTTGCCCTTGGCCAGTAACTATGACAATGTGCTGCCCTCCCTGCTCATTAAGAACAGTATTTTGTGGAGCACAATCACATACCTGTAACCCCAACAACTCCGGAGGCTCAGGCAGGAGGACTGCAAGATCGAGGCCAGCCTCAGCAATTTAACAATACCCTGTCTCAAAAAATAAAAGAACTGGTGATGTAGCTCAGTGGTAAAGTGCCTATGGGTTCAGTCCCTAGTACTATAAAGAAATAAAGAGAACAAGGTGCTTTAGAAGTGATGTAAATTCTAAAAACTGACAGCAGCTACCACTGATTCTTCCTTGGTCCTAGATGCTTTGTGTATGTCATTTCATAGTCCTCCTAACTCTAGGAAGTAGATATTGCTTCCATTTCTGTGCATACACTGTCATTTAGCTCTTCATTCAGCAGATATGTTGGATCATATTAAATTGCTATTTCACAGTTTGTGGCTTACAAAAGTAGTTTTTATTGAGTGCAAAGGTCTTTTCTGCTCACACATCCCTTTCAGACATGACCAGGAAGCACCATGCATTGTGGATATGGTCACTGAAGCCACAGTTTCTGGCACTTTGGCTCCAGAGCTGCAGCACACCTGTAAGCATTGTAGAGGAGTGGGTTGGGCCAGTCAGAATGATGTTGCTGGTCTCTAGGACAAAATCTGTCCTCTGGGAGCTCATAATCTCCATCGGAGCAGTCTCTCCCATTTTTGAACTACCTGTGTTTTCAGATAATTAACTCCTGACAGCAGTACTTGTAAAAAGGTAAAAAGGGACGTCTCTTAGCCAGATCAACTGGGTAATCGTGCATTTGTTTAGTATTCAGATTTTGTATTCAGACAGAAGCTTTGATGCCCTTACCATCATGCTTGCCCTTCTCCAGACCTGCACCTCTTTGCTGAACAGCCATTTTTATCAACTCGGCTGTCTTGGGAGAGGTGTCAGGTATCAAATGCCTCCAGTTACCTACACTCTGTGCTAACCACATGGGATACCTATGGACAGTATAGTTGCAATCTTACGACTGAGACAGGTTGCAAGGAATTACAGGGAGAGGGTTCCTGAAGTAGGTAAAGACAGGGGAGGGTTAGGAAAGTGTATTGGAGGGAATGCTGTTCCTGCTGGTCAGGGAGTTTCTGAGAGGATCATATGAAATCATGCACTTGAGAGTGATTGTAGATGGCAGAACTGTCTGTAGATAATAGTCAATATTTTGTTCCAAAATTTTTTCCTGGCAGCTTTAGTGAACTGGGTTTATATGATTCTTCTACTGAGGTTGGTGTAATGACTTAGGATGCAGAAATGGGATTAAGTCATCTAGTTCTGCATTGCTGCCAGGGCCCCTGTGATCTGGGATCCTGAAAAAAAAAACCAGTCTTTTTTGAAACTTCCTGAGCAGACATGCACTTTGAACGCTACTACTTGGAGTAGTTCAGAGCCCTCCTTTCCTCTGACAGGTGCTACAGCACATGAAGGCTGTGCAGGCGGATCAGGAGCGAGAGAGGCAGCGGCGGCTGGAAGTGGAACGAGGTAGGTGGCTGTCCCCCATCTGGTCATCTTCCAGTCCTTAACCCAGCCAGTTGAGTCTTATGCTTCAGGTGCTGTGCTAAAGAGCGAGTGCTGATGGACAGTGTGGTGGTAGATGGTGTCATCTTTATCTGATGACTCTCTCCAGTCCTGGCTTCTCCACTGAGCTCCATCCTTATTCTTAGAGGGTTAAAAGGCATCTCAGAAAAAATAATTTGAGAAAAGGTATCTCAGATATGGCTGAAGCAGACCCGTTTACTTTTAGCCCTTTCCCAGTCTTCCCCCTAAACAAGAAGTCACTACCTTTGTAGTTATTCAAACCTGAAATAGGAAAGATGGATCCCTTTCTTTTGTTATCAAATCTAGTTTGTCAGCAAGTCCTCTTGTGACACTTTCTCTACCTTCAGCACTACCTCTGAAAGAGGACGTGAATGTGCCATATCCGTTAAACTCACCCTCACATGGCAGCCTGGGATATCTTTTTATTTTTGTTCTTATTTGTTTAAACATTTTGTGTGGTGCTGGGGATTGAACCCAGGGCCTTGTGCATACTAGGCAGTGCTCTAACCTAGAGCTATACCTCCAGCTCTTGGGGGGATCTTTTTAAATAAGCAGTGCTAATGTACCCTCTAATGACATTCCATTGAATTTAGAATGAAGTCCAAATTCAGGTGTTGGGACCCACAGGCCACCTTGGCCTAATGTTGCCTGCCACGAAGTGCCATTAACTTAGCCACTGGGGCCTCTTCTGTTGCTTGGATGCACTAACTATGGCCTTGCCTTAGGGGCTTTGCTTGGTTCCTTTCCTTAAGCTGGCTCCTGGTTTGCTTCCTGTGATCCCTCATGTCTGATCCAGTGTTGCTGTAGGTCAGCCTCAAACCTTGCCAGAGCACCCAAACTCAAGTAGCCATCCTACTTGCCACCCCTCCCCCACCTCTTCTGTTGACCTGGTGGCACATCTCTGTTTTTACTGTGTTCACTTATGGATCGTGTGTCTCTGTCTGTGCAGGTGCTAGAATCTACCCTGCCTTCTCCACTGATGCACCTCAAGTACTCAGAACGGTGCCTGGCATGTAGTGTGTTCTGCTGACTGGCTGACTTTTGGTCCCCTTACCAAGGACTACATGGTTATACAGAAGAGGTGCCTGCAGTACTGATTACAGGCAGTCCCTGAACTCATAATGCCCAAGTAATAGTGTCCCTTCTCCATGCACAGCCACCATGGCAGACAAGCCCATGTTCACTCTGACCCCCTCTGGTTTGCTTCTCGATGGTGCATATTCTCTTGAAGCTAGCTGTAGTGGGTTCTTGGCATTCTTGGTGCTCAGCCAGAATGTGGAGCTGGTGTGGCTGTAGAGAAGCAGTGGAAAGCTCTCGTACTTACAGTACTGCTGTTCAGCTACATTATGATTCAGATAGGCTTTAAAGTCCTAAAAGGACATTTAACTACCATTTTGTGGCATTCGGGCTTTGGAAAAAATGTATTTTAGGCTTCCAAATAACTGATTTGGAAATGCAGTCTTATAACCCAGTAATTTGGAAGTTGAGTGCTACATGTAAGCATACTTGAGCTGTTAAGCAAATGGAACATAGATTCCCAAGTTGGTAGATAACTGATAAATCATTTGTCACTTTAGAAAAACATTGCTGTTAGCTGTAACTCTAAATGTGAGTGATCATGGTCTTCTTACTTGCCCTCCTCCCCATGCTACATTGATTTCTAAAGTGTGGGAAGATAGCAGTCCTATAGGAGCAACCCTTTCATTGTTCCTTCTCCTCATGGCTAAGTTCTAGGAGGTTGTTGATTGCTCTGCCATTTGCTTTTTTTTTGAGGCTGGGCTCAAGTGACCCTTCTGCCTCAGCCTCCTATGTGCTGAGATCACAGGGTGCACCACCAGGCCTGACTTGCTCTGCCTTCTGAAGTAGTACCTAATTCTAGAGGAATGCAGACCTGTCACCTGTGCTTGTCTTAGTTCCCTTTGTTATTTCACTCCAATCTCTCCTGCCTGTAGACAGGGTATCCCTTAATAATCCCTTCAGCAAGCCCTGAGAGAGATTTTTAGCAAGAGCTTACTTCCTAGAGAGTAGAATGATGGCTGGTTCCTTTTTCTATTTCTGGAGGGTTTTGTTTCATTGTTTTTGCTGCAGTGCGGTGACGGAGCCTAGAGCCTCACATGTGCTCATAAGCAAGTGCTTTATCACTGAGCTACATCCCCAGTCCTCCTTTTTCTATTTCTTATGTGACCCATGGCATAAAGCAAAAGGCAGCTGAATTCTCGCTTTTAATTACTGAGGAAAGCAGGCTGCTGGAGGGTTGGTGGGAGAGGAGTCATGTTTGGGTATATTTTGTTGTAGAGGCAGAGAAGAAGCGGGAGGCCAAACAGCGAGCTAAGGAAGCTCAGGAGCGGGAACTGCGGAAGCGCGAAAAGGCAGAAGAAAAGGAGCGTCGGCGAAAGGAGTATGATGCCCTCAAAGCTTCCAAGCGGGAGCAGGAGAAGAAGCCCAAAAAGGAAGCAAATCAAGCCCCCAGTAAGTTTGCTGTCTGGGCAAAGTGGTAGCCCAGGGCAGACATGTGCATGTTTTCAGGCATGAATGAGTGAGCAAGCTCACAGACCAGTTACATAAACTACAGTCATACCTGGGAGTAGTGTGGGTGTCTGAAGAGTGTGGCCACGGGGAATAGAGGAGACTCTGGGGGAGCTGGTGCTGGCTGGCTCGTTTCCCAATGCCACATATGGGTGTGTCAGTCAGTTGTGTCCTAGAGCACCTTGGAGCAGGGAGTCTCACTTTCTCTAGGGCTGACATCCTAAAGTCTATTTTTTATTTTTTCTAATTATAAATAATATGTGTTCATTGCAGAGATTTAGAAATGATATAATCTCAGAAAACAGCAGTCACCTATGATACATTCCCAGTAGTAATTGCTATTTACAAGTGATATATTGTTTTACTTTTTAGGTTTTTCATACGTGTATTATATAATGATGACATTCACAGTATTAGTAAATCTGGACTCTGTTCCCAAACGGGCAGTAGTCTATCCCTGCTGAACACCCTCTGATAAGCCCTTCCTGCTCCCAAGGGGCTTCGACCATCTTCATGTTACTAAGGAGAGTGTAGGAACCTGGGGACTGAGCTACAGGAGTCATGCAGAATGAGTTCCAGTTTCCAGGCTAGTCCCTTGAGATCCCAGGGATGAGACATTTATGTTATGGTCTCTGTGTAGCAGAGTCTTGAAGAGCTCTAATATCCATAAGACATCTTTCTCCTCAGGTCTCGAGGAGTGGCTGAGTGATCTATCTGCAGGGAGACTTGCATAGACTATAGACAGTGGGTCTCCTCAAACTAACAGAACTTCATTTTATCTCTTATGACTATCTCTCCAGAATCTAAATCTGGCTCCCGTCCCCGCAAGCCACCACCCCGGAAACACACTCGGTCCTGGGTTGTGCTGAAGCTGCTGCTGCCTCTGCTGCTGCTGTGTGTGGCTGGTGGGCTGGTTGCGTGTCGGGTGACAGCACTGCAGCAGCAACCCCTGTGCACCAGTGTGAACACCATCTACGACAATGCTGTGCAGGGTCTGCGCCGCCATGAGATCCTCCAGTGGGTCCTGCAGACCGACTCCCAGCAGTGAGCTTGTCCTCCGTACCTGCTGCCTCCCGGCCTTGGAGCTCGGATTCCTGTGGAATTGGCTTCTGCTGGACACAACCTTTTTAGCGTCAGACCTACCTGCCATCATCAAATGGCTGCCAGTTGGTACTTGAGACCTCCCCTTTGTAGGACTTCTTGTTGTTCCTTAGTCAGGATTCCCTGGTGGAATGAGAAGAAATGGGAGGTGGGGAGGGATAGTTACCTGCATGCCTAAAGGAATAGGCTTGGGGGTGGGGAGAGAGAAAACAGCCTTTTTTAGTTATTGTACTAAGCTGTGTAAAGGCAAGGCTTGTTTCTACTAAATGGTCAGCTGTCACTACATTTATACTTTTGTATGTCACAAACCCTTTCTTTCATTCCTCCCTGGGTAGCCCAGGCAGATCAGGAGGCAGTGTGTTATTGGGGACTAGGGGACCACCACATTCAGTAAATCCAGTCAAAACTGGGGAGGGGGTACCTATTTCCTAAAAAAAAAAAAAAAAAATTCTGAGACATTCAACATTTTAGTGACCATCAAAACCTCTGGCTATGAAAGGGACTTCACAACCCTCAGCCCCATGTAACGCTTGTAGGCAGAGGAACTGAGGCCTTCCATAACTTGCCCAGTCTCCCAGATAGTGTAAGGTAGAACTAGACTCCCACTCTGGTATTCTTTCTTTCCTTGACATCATTTGGCCTCCTTTGTAAAGTTCAGAGAGAACAGAACTCACACCAGAATTCTGTCTCAGGCAAGGTGTAGACACTTCACAGTAGACAGAGTCATGACTCTATTCATGCCATCAGGGTCTTGGGCAGCTCCCGTGGAGTCCTGCCCTAACTTAAATAGCTTCCAGAAAATGGCAGCAGGCCCGCTCCTTGCCTCAGGTTCAGAGCATTAACTCCCTGAGTGCCAGGAAATGAGGAGGTGGATCTCTGCAAGGCTGCATTGTCTGTGACAGCTCCATTAGCACTAGGTGTGATTAAATACCTCAGAGGCAACCTGAACACTCAGCTTCATAGACACTGAGGCTCAGAATTGTCTGATTCTAGACCTATAACAGAAGGGAAGGAATGAATGCAAACTGTAGGAAATGAAGGGAAACAAGTAGCAACAACGGAGCTGAAAAGTGGTGCATAAAACTAAAGACTAGCACAAACTAGGGCAGTACCGTCCATTCTCTTGGCTGCTAAATTAAGCATTTTCTTGCCTATGCTTCATCTTTTCACAACAGCTGGATGAAGGGATCAGAAGGACCATGTCTTGGTGCTTATTCACTGAAAACCTAATTGCAAGCTCCTTGCCTCTTCCCATAGGGAGTAAGAACCTGCTATAGTTTAGAGACAGGGCAGAGTCCAGCTTTTTAGCCCTAGTGGCCCTTCCAGGGTAGTTCTATCACTCATGATTGTCTTGGAACTGGAAGAAAGGACTTTGCTCTCTCCTCCCCCAAGGTAGCTGTGCCACGCAGGTCCACACCTTACTCAGAATCACTACACATTCCTTAGTCTTCCTCCAAGCTCCAGAGCCATTGGTATAAAATGCTTTATTGAAACTTAACACATAATACATAACAATGAGATTATGAAAATACAGAAGTCAGCCTAGTTATCATAGTTCCTTTGGCTGGTTGAGGCAGCTCAGTGGCTGAGCCAACCTGCAGGCAAGCGTTCACTCCGACTTTGAGATTTGATGCTGATTCTTTTGGATTTCTACAATTATTAAATCCATGTCTGAGTGGTCTGTCTTTGTTCTTTTGTGTTTTGAGGGCTGGTTGGGGCAGGGGTAACAGCTGTTTTTGCTGGGAGAAGAGCAGAACCAAATGTCTTGACCTTCTGCCCTGAGTTCACAGGGAATACGACAAGTAAGGAGAGACTGGGCCACCCCCTGGCTAGGCCTCAGAAGGTGCTTCCAGTTAGGTTCTAAGGTTGAGGAGGTAGAAATCAGCATTTTATCCTTGTCCCTGTGGACTAGCATCAGTCAGCACTATCTAAAGTGAGATCTGGCTGCAAACTGGTCATCTGAAGGTAGACACGCCTAGACACCTCTGGCCCAATACGGCGGGAGGTGGATGTCACTCCTTCCCCGCGGCGCACCTGTATGTTTGCCAGCAAATTCTGGCGTTCTTGCTCCGAAAAACACCGCCGATAAGCCTGAAAGCAGTAAATGATCTCTTAATGCTGTACCATCCCCAGCTGTCCTCCATCCATGAGCAAAAGGGTGGCAGGCTTGGTCTGGGGAATGATAACCCAGGGTCCCTCTGGGTCAGCATGAACTGAGCCAACCCACACTGCTGACAAACAGCATCTTTGGGTGTCCTCAACAGGGCTGTTCATGGAAGTCATCTCGGGGGCCCTCTGAGGCCAAAGCAGGTTAGGTGACCCTAGAGCAGCATACCTCTACCAGGAGCCTTGGGGAGGGATAGGCATCCACAATAGCACTGGCCATTTCCAGGCTGACTCGGTTCAGCTGCTGAATCTGTCTTCTCCAGACTAGTGCCAGTCCCCTGCCAGTGCGGTCTACCTTCACCCCTCCAGCCCAGTCGCTCTCCAGGCAGAAGGAGAAGCTGTTTTCATCTCGGAGTGTCCTGCAGATAACACAGCTGGGAAGCTGAGCTGCTCATTAGTCCTACACTTGTCCCTTCAAATAAGGCCTGAAAAGCACTCTGTCCAGTGACCTGGAGGTGGATACAGTGTCATATCTGGCCAGTTTGAGCCTTCGATGATTTGAGCAATTACTTCATTTCCAAGCACAGTGTTAGTTAAAAAACTATAACTAGTCCCTTTCATTACTATAGAAGGTACCAGATTCTTCTGCTCGTAAGCTAAAGGAGAATATTTTATTTATTGGTCCTGGGGACTGAACCCAGGGGCACTTTATCACTGAGCCACATTCCCAGCCCTATTTTTTTATTTTTGATGGTGCTGGGAATTGAACCCAGAGCCTTGTGCATGTGAGGCAAGCACTCTACCAACTGAGCTATATCCCTAGCCCCTCTCTTTATTTTTTGAGATAGGGTCTTGCTAAGTTGCTGAGGCTGCCTCAAACTTGTAATCTTCCTGCCTCAGGCTTCTGAGTTTTTGCTAGGAAAAACTAGCATGGCTGCAAGAATTATCCTCAAAGGCAAGTTCCTACATGGAGGCAGCAGGCTTTTCTGGGGACACTCACTTGAAGGGTGCCTCAGCCACGGCCTTTGTGAATGTGCAGGCGAAGTCAGCCAGTTCTTTCCAGCTCTGCACAATCCGAACCTGGGCTTCGGTATGTAGCTGCAGATCCACCAACGCCTAGAAACCCCAAGAAAATGATGGACTGGAAGGGCAGAGAGAGACTAGTTGGAAGTGGTTCTCCCACTGTTCACAGAGACTGCACCCCAGCCTCTTAGCTCCTTATTTGATCCCTTCTCTCCTACTCAGGCCAGTGTAGAAAGCAGTGTCTAGTGGGTAGTTTATTCTCTAGCAAACTGGATTACATGACTAGTGAACACCCCCATGAACAGGAAGTTCTTACCTCTTCCACTTCTACCCTGGACACCACAGGCCCTGTGCTGGGCTCTTGTCTCTGCTGCTTCTCCTTGGCCTGTTTACTTGACGCTCCCTGTTTCCTTCTCCTTGGAGGGTTCTGAGCCCTGGAGCAGGGGAGCAAAGTAAAGGACAGCACCTCCAGACTGCACGCAGGCAGAGGGGTGTAAGAAGAGTAGACCAGGACATCCCACAGGGCTTCCAGGGACATCATCTTGCAGTGATTTATAGATGGAGTGAAGAAACTCACCCTTGTTGGCCCAAGAGCTGCCTCATTTAACACTAAGTCTCCAGGGAAAATCCAAACCTGAAGCATTTCTCCTGATCCACAATCACCAACGATACAGCTTTCCCTGCTGTCCTTGCTGTGACGTCAGTTACAAAACCTTGAAGTGTGTCCTTCCCTTTTCCGGCACTGCCTGAACTTTCCTGTGTGAAGGGGCATAAGGTACATTAACATTCCCACCTGGTAAGAGGGCTGCTCTGTTCCATGCCTCAGTCCCACTCCTCTGGCCCTACCCACCTGCTTAAAGTTGCAGATCATGGACATAAAAGCTTCTGCCAGGAGTAACACAAGGACTGTCTGCTCCTCCACCCAGTCCTCTTCATCCTGCCAAAGGGCCCAGAACACAAGACAGAGAGGGAGGTCAGCAGGTGTGGGGCCCCATGAGAGACCCAGGTCTTCCAGGTGAATGAATTCCCTGCCCCTTGTGCTGTTTCCTTCTCCCCTCACTCCCCCCTTTTTTGTGGTTCTTGGGATTGAACCCATGTTAGGAAAGCGCTCTACCACTGAGCTACATTCCCAGTTCTTTTATTATTTTATTTTGAGACAAGGTCTCACTTAGTTACCCAGGGTGAACTAGAACTTGTGATACTCCTGCCTTAGCCTCTCAACCTCCCAAGCAGCTGAGATTATAAGTATGTGCCACTGTGCCCAGCTTCCTTTTCAACCCCCCCCACAACCGAGTACTGAGGATTAAATTCAGAAGGCTTTATTATGAGCCACATCCCCAGCCCTCTATTAATTTATTTTAGTTTTGGTTTTGGGTACTGGGGATTAAACCCTAGGCATGCCCCCACCTTTTTTTCAGTACTGGGTATCAAACTCAGGGCTTTAGACATGCTAGCAAGTGCTCTGCCACTGAGTTATATCCTTCACAGGGTCGCTTTACTGCTGAGCCACATTCCCACCCTCTTTATTTTTTACTTTGAGGATAGAGTCTGACTAAGTTGCTTAGGGCCTTGCTAAGTTGCTGAAGCCATCCTCCTACCTTAGCCTCTCATATTGCTGAGATTACAGGTATGAACACTCCACACCCAGCTTATTTTTTATTTTGAGGCAGGGTTTTGCTAAGTTGTCAAGGCAGGAGGATCACACTTGCAATCCTCCTGCCTCACCCTCTAAGTAGCTGGTATTACAACCATGTGCTACCACACCCAAACTTTTTCTTCTTGACTGAAGTCAAGGTGGCAAGGAACAATACTAGTGATCCTGTTCCTCCCTAGCCCTCAATTCTTTAACCTTGGTGCACTGCACTTCTGAAACACTGAATAAGAAAGGAAGCACTGGGGTGCAGCTCAGTGGATCATAACCTGCCCTACAAAAAGAAAAAAGAAAGCAAATTCCAAAAAAGAAGTAGAAGAGGAGGAGGAGGAGGAGGAGGAGGGGAAGGAGGAGGAGAAGGAGGAGGAGGAGGAAGAAGCGGGGAAATTGGCACATTTAAAGGGGCTGAGAAGCAACTGCCAATTTTTTGTGTGCATTCTGAATGGGGGAACAGAGGAAACAAATAAACTACTGCACTTTGAAGGTAGAGGCTAAGAGTTGAATGGCCCTTATAAACACAGGTTGTGGGTGAAAAAAAATCACAAGAGGAACCTCTGTGAGAATAACTCTTCTTCATAATAGCAAGGACGTAGTCAAAGCCGAGGCTGCTTCAGGGCCAACAATCCAACAGCAAAACAGTATAACGGAGAGACTGCGAGACTGCAGAGCAGGAATTTTGCAGAAAGGTTTCTGATTGGGTCCCTAAAAGCAAAAGCAAGACCCCTCAGATGGCAAAATGTAG